TTTTAGCCATATATTTATAGTTAAACTGTGGGTTTAAAAAAATGACAATCAATCCATGGTTACTGCACTTTTACTATAGTAAAACCATTGTTCATTTCCGTATTTCCATAAGAGAAAATGTATGTCCTGACAGAAAAGTATCAGTACATTTTACTCTTTTTTTCAAGTATAATCATATGCCACAGTTACACAAATATCCTTAAATGTAAAATTTACTTAAAAAATATGCCTTGATGAACGAAACCATAAAATATTTTAATTCTAAGAGGATAATGGAAGTTTCTGCTGTGAACGTGACTATTAAATATAGCCTATACATGCTTCAAAGTAGCTAACACTACTGTTTACATGTAGTAATATGAAAGATAATAAGCTAAAGAAATGTAATAACTCTTCATTATGTTACATGCAGGAAAAAAACATGAAGCAGGAAAAAAACATGAACTTCTGCGGAGAGTAATGTTCGCGCCGCGCTGTCAGTTCGGTGGCGCTAGTAAACACGTCCTCTCTGCGCTGTCGAGTCGGTCGCGAACACTTTAATACCGCGCTGTTTCGTCCCACTTTTGGGTAGTGTGGCTTCCCATACTTCACGGTGTTTAGTGTCGCCGCCAGCGGCAGTGGAAGAGAGCGCGCCTTTAGTGCAGCTGGAAGAGTTATAGAACAAAGGAAGACTGGATTAAAACTGGGGCTGCCCCGTTAATAGATCGCTAGCCTATTCTGCGTTCAAGCGCAAGCATAAAACTTGCCACAAAGCAACATCAAAATTAATGAATGTCTTGAAATAACAGTAAGGAGATATTTTTATTATTTATTATTAAACTAGTGTTCTCTGCTGAGATGGAGATGCTTGCATGGAGATGTTTCGATTTGAATTCTTTCTTTTTAAAGTAGACATTTCAAGTTTTCTATAGATATATTTCTTATGTATGTGAGCCAAGTAGCCTATAGGCTTTAGTTTCATTTTTTGTAACGTGCTCCAGACCGGAGACCGAGACGGCGCATCCTGTTTGTTTTCTTTATTTTAAAAAAATACCGCATTTTGTTGATGTTGTGAGTGTACACAAATAAAAGTAGACCCTTTACAGTGTAGAATGTTTTATTACTCTTATCTATATGAGGAAAAATGATGCAGTATTTTAGGTTGTTTTCACTGTTATTAGGGGGAAAATGTGATTGCGCCGGCACCTTCATGTCCTGTATTAAGCGCACTTTAGCTTCCACGCTCTGCACAAACACTCGGATATGCGCCTAACAGCGCACATTTAGGTTAAAAGTTTACACTAACACCTCTACTGCCGCGACTCCTGAAAAACTTTTTCATTCTGCGTCGCCCCATCAAGCTCTCGCTGGATCCCCTCCTCTGCTATCAACGAGAGGAACGTCTGTACTTCCTCAACAGACAACGAAACAGCCATTTTTTGGTTGTTAGTTTACACGTCACGTTTTGGTAACGGTACGGTTTGCTTGGAACCTCAACCGAGGTGGTACTGAAAAAAGTACCATGTACTGTACCCAGTGGAAAAAAAAACCAAAAGTGAACCGTACCGAACCGTACCATGCCGTACCATGCAGTGGAAAAGCGCCATATGTGTTATGGACCACTTTGAGAACCCCTGTCCTAAAGGAATGAATGTGAGATTTCCAGCATGCTTTTTAGTAAAATGTTATCAAAAATTGAGTAGATGATATCCTTAAGCAGGCTGGAACGAAGTGTGACATTGTAAAGCATCTGCCATTTTCTTAATGAAATTGTTAAATTACGCAGTAACATCATTACTTCTACTTTTTAAAAATAAGCTTTAGTCAATCACTCTACACATTACGCAGAGCCAGGAACAGCGCGTTTCTATCTTACTCTCATGGTGCCCTCAAGTGTACCTGGAAAACTTGTACTGTTTGCATACATTATTACGAGATGTCAAACATACAAATTGGAATCATAATGTGGAAGTAGCCTAAAATGAAATGTTTGTGATGCATAAAGCAGTTAATACATAAAGCAGTGAGTCAAGTGATTAACTTCACGCTTGTTGTCTATAAGCTGTTCCAAACATCACACCTTTAAATTACTGAAACACAGCATGTAAAATTAAAATAACTTGCAAAATCATTCATTACAATTCACTACAGATCTGTTTTCTGCTCATGTTTATTGTAGATCAGTGTTTCTGTGCACCCCTTTCAACATCACAACTAGGCAACTCATGTATCATCTAGAATGCTGAGTTTCCCACTTGTAAATATGACTTTGTTTGGTCATTCATTTGTTGTCTATAAGCTGTTCCAAACATCACACCTTTAAAATGACTGAAACAGCATGTAAAATTAAAATAACTTGCAAAATCATTCATTACAATTCACTACAGATCTGTTTTCTGCTCATGTTTATTGTAGATCAGTGTTTCTGTGCACCCCTTTCAACATCACAACTAGGCAACTCATGTATCATCTAGAATGCTGAGTTTCCCACTTGTAAATATGACTTTGTTTGGTCATTCATGTGCGTAATTCGAAATTATGATATTTCCAACTGCACATGAAGGGCACATTATTCTTAGTTATATACCAACTGGAATAAAACATCTTCTCCTGGCTTTAATGAATAGTATCTATCCTACTTCCTCCATACTTCGCTGTGACTGGGTGGGCGAAGTCACTGAACACTGAATAGGCATCCTTGATGTGTAAAAGTGGGCGGTCATGTTCAACAATGGTCTTTTTGGACTAGGAAAGAAGTTTTCTGTTCTGAAATTTACAGTCTGTTTCATAGTACACACATTCTTTTGAAAATTTGATTTGGTCACTCTTTATTTTAAGGTCCAATTCTCGCTATTAACAAACCATTAACTATGACGTTTGCCTCAATAAACTCCCAATTTGCTGTTTATTAATTGTTAGTAAGGTAGTTGTTAAGTTTAGGTATTGGGTAGGATTAGGGATGTAGAATATGGTCATGCAGAATATGTGCTTTATAAGTACTAATAAACAGCCAATGTGTTAATAATAGTCATGCTAATAAGCAACTAGTTAATAGTGAGAATTGGTCCCTAAACTAAAGTGTTACCTTTGATTTCTTATAATATGACCACTTAAAACACAATCATTAGTGTATGTCAGGAGACATTTTAACATCCCAGATATTTGAAATGCAAAGGACGCCCTCAATAACTAGGAAAGTCTTCACTCGGATTTGCATAATTAATAGACTATTACACTGAATGTAAGCCTAATTGGGATCAAAACACAATTACAAGAACAACCACAAGTGCGGCCTATTGAGCTATTTAAAAAAGGTATTGCAGGGTCCGAGTATATTGTGAATGTCTAACGGTGTAACTGTGCACGAGTCTGGTGCTCTGTTCACCCACGGAGAGAGATACAGTAGTGGGTGGAACTCTCTGGACGGCAGTGTGGCCTTTAACTGGCAGGGCTCTGACATTTGGCCGATTGGTGCATGTATCTGCTTGTACCCTGTATGTGCTTAAGTACAGTACATAGTTTCATAATCAAGCAGTTGGTGGGTTGCTTGAATGACAAGTCGACTAATCGATCTTAAAGAGCCCTCTATAATTAGGCTAGTTTCAGGATCGTCCAATCAGGGTCAAGATTCTTTTAATCTTTTATTCAAAAAACAGAGCAGGAATGAAACGGAACAGGAGTCTCGGGACAAAGGTGAAACTATTTTTTTACTTTAACAGCCTTAGTGCCCTAAAAAAGTAATAGTTGAAATACTTTTATTTCGTATTAAGTATAGTTCAAATCTATTAACATATTTACTGACATATCGCTCAAGACTTAGGCTACTGATATACCAATTATAATTAAACTTTATTTGGAGTAGTACTTGTGCACAATGCATATTTCTTAATATTAAGCCTAAAATGTGTTTTAATATTACTATTGATGAGGATTGTATGATGAGTAATATTAGTCTTTAAATGCAAGATATTTAAAGTGTACCTGAAGTATACTTTAGCACAATTAAATATACTTCAGTGTATCTTTAGTTGGACTTCAGCACTACTTCCACACAATTAAAGTGCATTAAGTACAAAATTAGTTGTTCCAATTTAGCAGACTTTTAAGTATACCAGTTTAGTATAGTAAAAGCACAATTGCAGGGTATTTTTATTAAGTACATAAATATATACAGTAAATGTATTTGTAGTACACTTAGCATGTAAAAAATGTTTTTCAAATACACTTTAGTATATTTATTTTTCACTAGGGTGAGCAAAAGAGATTTCTTTTGAAAACATTTTTTTTTTTAATCTTACGGTAGTGTATATAAAAATAACTCGCATATGTGATTATATAACTAAATATAACTCTTATATGTGAAAAAGTTTTAAAACACTGATTTAAGAGAGTTATTTGCAAGCTTTGGCCTATTCTTTTATTCATATCTGTCAAACGCACCTGCCTGCAACCATTCAGGTGTGCAAAGTGTCTATTCCTCAAAATATAATTAAAGTCAATCTGAGATATCTGCAAGCTGCAGTGACTGATAGCTAGACTGATAGATGGAAAAAAAAATTACCACATTTTACTGGAGATTGTGACTCATCCCAAAATAAACCAGTTTTGAAGTGTGGCTGAAATTCTCCCACTAAAGATTCAGCAAGGCATTTCTGCTCATCCAGTACTCAGCAATTCTATTGCCTCCTTCCCCTCTCATTTTTATGTCTCCTCTCTTTCTCACAAGAGTGCACTCTTCACACAGTATGAATCTAAATGAATGCTGTTTCAGTAACAGTGTCTGAAGAGCAACTGGCAAGTGTTTGCATGCAGGTCTGGCTAATTGCTGACTGTGTTTATCAAATCAAGACAGTTTGCGGAGAAACACATTTGAAAATGTTCTTATTTAACGGGTTTCATCTCATTGCTCATTAGACGACAGAAAAGGGTTTTTATTATTAGTCTAGCTTATATATAATTATATGTTTAATACAGAAACATTAGGGTAGGTGCTTTTTTGAAATGAATAAAGTCAGACCTACCTTAGCTGTGGCACGTGCTTGATACTCTGGACAGCCATTCACTGTTATTGTTTCATGCATATATTGATAGACCTATTAAAATAAAGAGAACAAAAAATCTGTTTCAGTTCTTCTACATTTATCAAAATTATGAAAAACATGGATAAATAGCAGTGAGGCATTCTGCAACAGTAGACATTACAAATTCAAGTCAGCCAGGTTTATTTGTAGAATATGTAATAGATTGCAGATAAACTGGTGATTTATGTAATTAAAAAGCAAAACAGTGCCCATTTGTTAGTAAATGGTTCAATATTTGACCTTGCTCTTAGATAAAAGCCCAAAACAAAGCTTGATTTAACATTCTGAAATGAAATTCTTTAGAACGCAATAATGTGCAAAACAAGAACATGTTGCATTCTCAATGTGGACACAGGGGGTGCTATAGTGGGCAATAGGGTAACTTCTCTCTAAAGTTACTTCTCCTATGGTCAGTTTTTTCTTTTAGGTCAACAACTGTCTTGGCAGAGAAAGCTACCTGAATGATAGCATCTGGTTCGAAGGTCATATTAGCAAAACTTTGGTGAAATTTTGTTGGGAAAGAAGGTCCAATGTCAATAGTGTAGCGATGTATGAAGCACTGCTTACTCAAAGGTAACTTCTAAATCAAGCAGCTTTATGCTTGTATAAGCAGTGAATTTCATGGAAACTTACATCTGATGTGAAATTTGCATGGAGAAATTTTTCATCTATCCCTAAAACAAAATTCCTTATCGTGTGGATTCCTATTGAGATGACTGCATTTCGCCATACAAAGGTAAATGTGACCGCACCTTAAAGGAATATTTCTCCCAAAAATAAACATTTTCTGAAAATGTACTCAGTCTCATCCAAGATGTAGAAGAATTTGTTTCTTCATTGGAAAAGATTTATCAAGTCAAGTCACCTTTATTTATATAGTGCTTTTAACAATACAGATTGTCAAAGCAGCTTTACAGTATTAAATAGGAAAATAGTGTAGCAGTAAATTTTTGCAAAAGGACAATAGTAAACACTCAAATTTCAGTTAAAGGCAGCTCATCATTGAATTCAGTGAGCTCAGTTCAGTTTAAATAGTATCTGTGCAATCAAGTCGACGATATCGCTGGAAAATAAGTTAAAAATAATAATTAAGTTAAATAATAATAAATAATTTGGAGAAATTCAGCATTACACCACTTGTTCACCTATGAATCCTCTGCAGTGAATGGGTGCCGTCATAAAGAGAGTCCAAACAGCTGATAAAAGCAGCGCTATCCACAAGTAATCCACACTCCAGTGAAGTGTTTTTGTAATAAACAAATTCATCATTAAAGGAATAGTTCACCCAAAATTGAACATTTTGCCATAATTTACTCACCGTCATGTCGTTCCAAACATGTATAAGTTTCTTTCTTATGTTGTACATAAACCAAACAGTGGTTGGTCCCCATTGACTTCCATAGTTGGGAAAGAAATACTATGGAAGTCAATGGGGACCATCAACTGTTTGATTACCCTCATTCTTCAAAATATCTTATTTTAAGTTCAACATAAGATAGAAACTCAGGTTTGGAATGACATGAGGGTGAGTAAATAATGACAACATTTTCATTTTTTTTTCATCACTATCCCTCTTAAGGTGTTTTTAACTTCAAACCATGGCTTGGCTAAAATATGAGTCCTCTATTGATAATATAGCTTAGGAAAACAAGGGATAGACTTTTTCCACTGGATGAAGCCTTATGTTATAGATTATGTTGGAATTGTTTCTTAGAAACACACAGCTTTTCATATCTCAAGATGTAAGATGATTGATTGGACTGGAGTGTGGATTATTGTGATGTTTTTATCTGCTCATTCTGACAGCACCCATTCACTGCAGAGGATCCATTGTGTTGAAATGCTACATTTCTCCAAATCTGTTCCGATGAAGAAACAAACTCATCTACATCTTTAATGGCCTGAAACTGAATCATTTTTTATTTAATTTCCATTCACATTTTTGGGTGAACTATTCCTTTAATGGCACAAAACACACACACACACACATGCCTGAGATCTCCTGTGTTTATGTACTTGCAATAGTTTGTTTCTGTTACTGTGGTGTTCAAATGTATGGCGACAATGAGAATTTAAAAAAAGCTAAAGCGTCACTGGTCTACATGACCAAAAACGGTTTGTTTGACATTTTGGCATAAATTATTTTTAGATTTATGCTTTATTCAGTTTCTACCTTTACACTTTTTTAAATAGTTTGTAAAGAGAGCTTAATCCAGTTCTAGCCACAGACTCCTTTCTAAAATGCAACACATGCAACATCTTTCATCACCGGTTCTATATTTTCACAAGCAGGTGCGTGCACAGAGCCCATATCTGCATTCACACCACCCAGGGACGAGACTATTAGCTTGAGGTCCTTTGAGGATTTGAAGAACCTATGTTTATCTCATTAACCAGCGCCTCTGAAACGCAGCTGGTGCTACAGGAAGCTCCAGCTCTCTCTCCTCTAAATAACAATTTTCTCTTTAATCTGTCCTCCTGCACCTTGGGCAGAATCTTTAGCTGTTTTACTAACCTCCTGAGAGATTAGTTAGATAAAAAACCTTCTCTTTCTATGCCTGTTGCTCTGCCGACTGACTTTAAACCACTCACTTTAAATCTTCACAACAGGCAGGAGCTATCGGATGGCCTTTAGTAGAGCTATCAAAAAAAAATTCAAATTTCGAATATTCGTCGAATTTAAAAGAAAAATCCACATTCGAATGCAAAAACGTTGCATTCGAATTTTAGGTGTGCGTCATGCAGCCTTATCAGTGGCACACTGATGCGATGACGATGTAGGTGTCATTGCATTTTAATGCTTTTTTTAGCTTATCCACACTCTAAAAAATGCTGGGTTAAATACAACCCAGTGCTGGGTAAAATAGGGACAAACCCAGCACTAGGT